ACCAAAACTAGATGAACTGCGATCTCAGCTGGCGGAGATGCTAAAACACGGATTCATCGAGCCAAGTAAGTCGCCGTTCGGCGCCTCTGTGTTTTGTTTTGTGAAAAAAAGTTGATGGCACTTTGAGGATGGTGTGTGCCGGACTGGAGCAGCTGAATAGAATCTTTGTAATGAAAAAGGCATGCTTGCCGAATGCCAAAGATTTATTTGACACCGTGCAGGGGAGTCAGTATTTCTCTAAACTCGATCTTCGTACAGGATAATCATATAATCGAATTCAAGGTGCCACTGTTCCCAAGACTGCTATCGATACCCCATTTGGGCATTATCAGTTGAGAGTGATGGGGTTTGGCTTGATGAATGCTCCCGACACGTTTCAGTCTCTCATGAACTCTGTCCTCCAGGCCTTCCTGCGCAACTGTGTTGTATCTCTCTGGATGAAATCCTGGTTTTTAGTTGAACTCTTGGGAGGAACATCTTCAACATGTGAGGGAGGTGTTACAAATGTTTGGAGGTGTTACAAATGTTTGGAGGTGTTACACATGTTTGGAGGTGTTACAAATGTTTAATACGTGAGAATGAACTCTATTGCGAGTCCTCCTGGAAATGTGAGAGCTTGGCCTACAAAACGTTCTGTACCTAGGCCATCGTATTGACGGGTTCTATATTGCGCCAAACCACAACAAGATCGAAGTGGTGATGTGCTGGCCACCTCCTAAAACAGTTAACCAGGTTAGACAATTTCTTGGCCCATTACTTCAGAAGATTCATTAATAAGTACTCATTCGTTGCACGTCTGGAGGAAACAACGGGAAAGCACGCGCGGTTTGAAGAGGCAGGTGCTCATCTCGAGTCTTTGAAGTCTGCTCTGTTGAATGCGCCCGTCTTTGCTCTCGCAGATTTCGACAAGCCATTCAAGGTGGAATCTGATGCTGGTGATTTTGCACTTGCACCGGTTCTTCTAAAGCTGATGCTGGGCACCCAGTAGTCGCGGCATGCTCTAGCCGAAAGTGGTCACCAATTGAAAGGAATTATACTGCTCAGGGAATGGGGTGCCAATTACGCTACAACTGCCAAACTGTTCACCCTGTTCTGGCTATTATCATCTTTGATATTCGGGAGGTTTCGCTCTACGTAATTACGTATGAAAATAACTTAGAACCTGCACGCTATTTTCATACGTAAAAGTCCACGCTGTTGGGTTTCGCTCTGCGTGATTTCTCCACGGCTGCCAAGCATGCCTTGTTGCTTTGGAGACGCGTCGGCTGCATGCATCCACCACATGCACCATGAACCGAAACCGCGTTTCCATTTGTTTTCTACGCGGTGTGTACCTTGTATTTCGCACGGCTTGAACGTTGCCATGGATAAATCTTGAAAATTTCGAAAAAATTTAATATTTCCGAACGTCCTACAGAGGAGCAGACCCAACGTAGGCAAGAGCTTTCCTATGGAAATTCGTAGAGAGATTTACATGTATGAAAGTCGCCCTTGCTTCCCGGCGTCTACGACATACGGATTTTCATACGTACAGTAACTTCGCTAATAGCGACTGAGGATATAACGACAATTCGCGCATAACGACAGAATTTCCATGCCCAGAGCAAAGTCCATTCTACCTGTATACATATAATGAGACTTCGGGTATAAGGACACTTCGCGAATAAAGACACTTTTCTGATGCCCGGCCGAGTGTCGTTATGCGCAAAGTTGACTGTAATTACGTAGAGCGACCCCCCCCCCCCCCCCTATTGTCACGTGCGCCCATTAGAAAATCTGCTGACTCACCCCATGAAATCATCGCATTACTTCGCGGCTGTGGCGACCTCTGCAGGTGCTCATAAATGTCTAGCCAGGTATTATCTCTCAGGGGCCGTCCGTAAATATTGATGTTTTTTCAAGACGATATTTGTTCATTTCTCCCCCCTCTAAACGAACATACACATGTTTATGCAAGGGATCGATATTTTTCAATGAAGTTCAATTTCCTCATGAAACGTGACCAGCTGCCACTCTAATGTCACCATACACCTAGGTTTACGTTGCCACGGTCGCACAACCTTGCCATGGCTATGCTCACGAGGTTGACTTTCACTTTGTGTAGGTCATAAACTACATGTTCGAACAGCGCCCGTCCATAGATAGCGTTCGATATTTTTTCCTGCAAAGACGAGACGAACAGGGCCCAAACCCCCCCCCAAACGAACGAATATCTTCTCTAAAAAAACATCGATATTTGTGGACGACCCCTTAGTCAAATCCCATATAATATAATATATTATATGGAATTTGATATATCCCACCCATAGCTCAGTGGTTAGAGCATCACTGGCTACAAGCGAGGGTCCCTGGTTCGAGTCCTGGTGGTGACAGTCAATTTTTTCTTCAGACTTTTCCCGTTTGTCTCTTTCCCTCAAACCAGAGGGTGCAGCCAGTGTGCTAACAGTACTCAACACCGCGGAGGCAGAACGTAATACACAGAACAACGAGGGCAATCAAGGCTTGTTAGTCGCTACTCAGAGTTTCATGCTTTCGCAATCATCAGGCAACATGAGGATGGCACTGGCCATGCCAGCATATATGCCAGGAGAGGATGGGTTTTGTAGCGCTGTATGAAAAGCTGTGTGTGAATGTGGGGGCTGTATAGGTTTCAGCAAGAGTTCATAACCCCCAAGAGTGTGCAACTGGCATTCACCCAGTGCTCGGCAAAATTCCTACATTACGTCATGCGCAACTTGTCATCCGAGGTAAATTTGGGTTCCTTGCGATTTCTGGAAACTATACTCGGAACCGCTCCTAACTCAAGGCTGTAGCCTCGACATTTCGACGCTTTGTTTGAAGACAATTCGGACGTGCAAGTCGTACGTTCTCGAAAACAAACTCTTTCTTCAAGAAACCGACAGGTAGAAGTGAGGACGCTGTCAATGATGCAAGTGTAGCTTGGCTGGGCAAAAAATATTGCATGGTCATCGAGGATAATCATTCTGATAGCTGTGCATGTGCAACTCAGCCGAGAAATGCTTCTTCGACGCATTCCCAATTTCCTCAATCATTTAAAATTATCTCCGAGGAAAGCACCCGAAATATGCCGAGGGCCCGGGGAAGAAATAATTATATTTTTGAAGAGAATGATTGCACTAGCGCACTGGCGAAAGAAGAAGGCGATGGAGAGTCGCCATTGGCATCGAAAAAATAGTTTCGTCTTTGGGATCGCGCGCGTTGTCTTCTTCATCCGGGACTCAGATCAGAATCGCAGTTTAGGCTGTTCCCTGAGGAAGCATCCCGGGTGCAAATTTTAGAAGAATTCATCAGCATGACTCATCACACAGCACGAAAAATGACGCGATGAAGGAATTCCGCCGAGCGGGCCTCCATACAGGAACTGATCAGGAGTTGCACACTCTTGGGGGTTATGAACTCTTGGTTTCAGGGCTAGTGGTGTTGTTTCAGGCAGGAAGCTGTGTGCAGAGTGTGTGGTTGTTGTAGGCAGGGGACTGTAGAGGCAGTGACAGGGCTAGCAGTGCAATGTTAGCACAGAATGTGTGGCTGGTGTGGGCAGGGGGTTGTGAGCAAGGTGTATGGATGTTGTAGGCAGGAGGCTGGAGAGATAATGCCATAGCTAGTAGTGTGATGTTAGCGCAGAGTACATGTATATGCCTGGCGTGGGCAGGGTGTTGTGAGCAAGGTGTGTGATTGGTGTAGGCAGTAGGCTGTGGAGACATTAGAGAGGTTCCGGAGTACGATTTTTCGTGCCAAAATCCGTAGAGGCGCTACGGATTTTCATGCGTCGTTTTCGAGCAGTGAAATATTCCGGAGTACGGAACTTGTGTGTTTGCCGTCATTGCCTAGGTTACGATCGCAAACACGTCACATTCCCGCGCTATGCCTTTTTTGAAAATTTGTACCAAAATCAAAACTTTCCGCGGAAAATCGATGTTTCTCGTAACAAAATTTGTACGCGAAAAATCTTTCTGCACCCGATGATGCAAAATTTCCATACAAAACAATAGTTCGTATGAAAGCCAGTCCACACGGATTCTCCGTGCCGAAAAATCGTATGGAGCACGCCTCAAAAAATCCGTAGCCCGGAACCTCTCTATTTTAGGCGACACCGTGGTATTTGAGGAGATACTTGTTCTCGTGCCGGCACTTGGACACCATTTCCGAGCGCTTGTTGAGGCTGGATGGTGATTTTAGCGTGTTCAGGATGTGGTACTTTTCTCTGGTTCAGAGGGAACACCGCTTTGTGATGTTGGTGTACACTCGGGTGCCATCTTTTATCCTCCACTGGACTTCGTACTGGGCGTTAGATTTCTTCAGGTTCCAAAAGTGGTTGGAGAATTCAGTGCTGCTGGAGTACTTTTCGTATCTGATTGTTGTCATGTGGTTGGCATGGCAAGACTTGAACGGTGGCGCCGACATACCGGTGTATTCTTTCTTGGTGGGGCCTGACGTTATGGATGCTAAATAGATCTGGGTGGAGAACCGCTTTGTTGTGGCATGCAACTGTAGCTGATTTTGATGGTGTTTTTTGTAAATATATCTCTGAGCTTCGACTGTGGAGGGAAGTGCTTCTTGGTGAGGGCCAGGAATCTTCCACCGATGTTCCACGTTACGTTACGGCTGCAAGGCGGGTTGTACGAATCACGTTCCTCTTCCTTTTCTTCTTTTTGCTCGTTTGCTGTGTGAACTCTAGCGTGCTAGGGTGTAGAGTAAGGAAAGCTATCACCGACACCTTCAAGACTCTAGGGCTAAAAATGACTATAGACGGCACCCTGAACATCACAATGAGCCTCTCCGCGGGGAACCTACCAACCGTACTGAAAACCCAACGACACTCCACTCCAATCACCCACCGCAAGTCCTAAAGAACATCCCAGCAGGAATCCACAACCGACTGGCAAACATCTCCTGCTCAGAAGCGGTGTTCCGTGACACTAATCCCATATACGCGGAGGCCCTCAACGCCAGCGGCCACAAAAAAAAACGACAACAAAATATGAAATTGAAATGGACTCCAATCGCAACCGCTTGCTGGTGGAAAATGGTTGTGCATAGCAAATCGCGAGCGAACTAAACCAGCGCAACGGCGCTTCCCATTGTGCAGTGTATGCAAATGCAGGATGGATGGTGTGTGTATCACCACACAAACAGGCACAACGTTAGTCACGACATTTCTAAGGGAAGAACAACAGTGTACAAATAAAACAAAACAAGCAACAAGAAAGAAAAGAGCAATGTGCATAATTCAGAGCCAGCCATGGCGCCAGTGCACTGCAATTTTGAAGTTTTGAATAAGAAATATCCCTAAATCAACTTTTTTCGATTTTTGCAACAAAAAGGTGCATATTCTATACATAACAAACAGTCCTTTGACAAATTTTTGAACATTTTTAAAACCTAAAAAAGGAAATACAGTACACAAACTGCAAATACTGGCATAAAGGTAAAATGAACCGGGCACCCTGAAATTAACCAAACTAGACTATAATAAAAATTGACGGAGACGCCAGTGTTTGAGTAAAAGGTTAAGGGTGGCAAGTGAGAAAATCTAAGACTAAAAAAACATTCCAGTGCAGGAAGTTATTTCCTGGCGTTCAGACAGGGTACCGATACTGCCTGTGCAATACACTTTTTGATTTTTTTCCAAATGTTTGCTACATGCAGGAGATAAGCTGACCAGCTCTATTGCTGAAGGTATAAATGCAGGAGACAAGCTGACTATTGAGTGGAGGTATGTTCAGGGGTCTATCGGCCCTAGAGCTACAAGTGCTGCTGCTGCAACAGCTCGACTTCAGTATTATAATACACGATGGCCATTACTGAAGCTTGGCGACAAACGACTTGACAAGGTTCTCCATGTCCTTGGCGCGACGCCGGCCCGTCTCCAGCACTTCCTCGTGGGTGGGTCCGACGCCCGTCAAGTTGGTGTCGGTGATGACGATGTTGGTGACGAGAGAAATGCCCAGGACTCGCACACCGCACTGCCGTGCAGCGATGACCTCCGGCGTAGTACTCATACCCACAGCATCAGCTCCCAGCAGCCGAAGGAGGCGCGATTCAGCAGGAGTTTCATACGACGGACCGCCAACTTTGACGTACACGCCTTCGCGAACAAAATCCACCATCCCGAGAGATTGGACCACGGATTGAGCAAGGCCACGCAGATCCTTGTCGTAAGCATTTTGCATGCTGACAAACCGTACACCATACCTGTGCAAAGTGAAAAGACGTACTGATACTATTATGATCTTCACTGATTTCCGAGCCTACTCCACACCCAGAGAACACTACTCACATCACGACATCACTAACGTCGGGAGAAAAAAAAGCCTGGTGGTGCCCTGAGAAATTTGCTAAAAGCCTATTATTGGCTGTGGAAAAAAGAGAGGAAATTGTATATGAAAACACTTGAACCTTGCCTCTGCTATCTAATACCTTGCTTTTCTTGCCCCACACACACACATGGCTTGCCCCGTAACAGCTCTCTCAGTCAGTTGGAAAGCTGGTCGCATTCCTCAGCTTTCACTTATTTAATTAAAAACGGCACAGAGCGTAATTCAAAATTCTATTCGAAAGACAACAAAATGGTGGGTGCAATGCTGATCAGGTGAAAGTGACCAAACCAGCATCCCACCTCGCTGTTCTATTTGGGCATCCCCGGCCCCGTGTGGTTCAGAGAGGGAGGGCAGCCTACCCAGGTTTTGGTCTAGCAGCAGCTTTGTTTCGCTTGCTCTTTCCCTTGCGTTGGTGGTTTTTGTCACTACTGATCACTCAATCTATTTCTTTTTGCAGGCCACGTGATTGTGAATAAATAATAATAATAAATAAAGTTGAAAGGAAAAGGACATATGGATACGAGTTAAGAGTAACTCTCCATCACTGTAACTGGATACTATATACAGTCAGAAAGTGCAATAACTAGGCACAAAACTGACAGAGTACTGAGACATTCGACGTCCTGACACCTAGCTTCAACACATCTCCGTAGCGCTACCCTACGCCTAGTTATTGCACTTTCTGACTGTATATACAAGTAGTATCCAGTTACAGTGATGGAGAGTTACTCTTAACTCGTATCCATATGTCCTTTTCCTTTCTACATTTATTTATGGCTCAACATTCGAGTTTCAAATAATAAAGTTACTAGAACTTACTGTTCTTCGTGGGGTCCAACAAGCGCATTGTTCCCAGCCAGAGACCCGATGTCGATATGATCGTTGATAATCATGATGTCACCAATGTTGAACGCCGTGTTCAGGCCACCCGCAGCATTGGTCACGATCAACGTTTTCACACCCAGCAAGTGAAGAACACGCACGGGCAAAATAACCTGGCGGCATGTCACGATAACACAGATCGAGAGAATCCAGTGATTAAACAGGCATCAAACTATTCACATAGTGAGAATGGTAGTACTGAGTACAATAGGGGAATCAGTCCCCAAGTGGACGGATAAATGGCATAGCAGTGTACCGAGTACATCGACACAAAGAGCTTAGAAGGTACCCCGAGGCGAAGCTGGCCCACCCTTAATTTAGAAAGGGGGGGGGGGGGGGTTAGGGTAGGGGTACAGGCATTTGCCCCAAACATGCAGGTGCACATGCCGGACAAAGGTAGAAAGATTTTTTTGGGAGGGGGGGGGGGGTGTGCACACGCCCCTGTACCCCTCATGGGCTAGATGACTTACACCAATACAGTACCGTAGTACATGCAAAATTGAACAAACACCCCCACAGTCAATATTAGGGAGGTTTAGTTCCACGTAATCCGTGTGTACTTTACGTGTGTGTACCACGTGATACTCAGTGACCCACGTACAGACGTTTTCTGATTCACGACATACCATGTATGGAGGCTCACCCACGTTCCACCAGAACGTGGGTGAAAATCAGAATGGAGCGTATTGTGGAAGCTGTGAGGGTGCTCAGCTGAAGAAGTTTCCGAAGCATGAAATCAAAATATTCGATGAGCTTCGAAACTTCCATCTCTGGCCAAGTTTGGGCCTTTCGCTTCATGCTTTTGTTCGTTCCGTGTGAATAAATACAACATTGCGAACGTGGGTCCATTGCATGAACTTTACGTGAATCACCCACGTTCCCGTTTCCGTTACGTGGGACTAAACCTCCCTATTGCTGTTGGTTGATAGGGAGTACGTCGGGGCAAAACAACTTAGTTCTTCTCCTTACCTTCCACAGAGGGTAGCCTTCGTAGGGATGGAATCGACCCTTCATACACACACACTGCTGACCACTCAGCATGCCAAACACAAGCTTGCCGGCATGACCTTGCACTGAACAACACACAGCACGGAGAATAAAGTCGCAATTAGAATTTATCTAAGAAACCGGGCGCACAGCATTCGACCTGCCAGCTGCTGAGATTTCCAATGAACCTGCTGCTCAACGAAGCACAGATAGCTGACCAGCAGACCTTAAAGCACATGTACCACCATACCACCATACCAGCAAACCATCACAACAAAAGCAATAGATGATATGGCAAATAACGTGCAACTAGACTTGAGAGGGCATCGCACACAAGTTGCATACACATTATACTACAATGTGTACATGGTAGGCCCTGAGCTAGCTCTGCAGGAATACAAGTCACAGGTACCCGTACAACTTTGAACTTTGCCTGCAACTACTCTGCAATGCCCTTCCAAGTCTAGTTGCACGTTATTTGGCATATCATCTATAGCAGCTCAATGTACAACCCCCATGCGTGTCAGAGATTCCCGAGATGCTACCGCCACGTTTTACAGGCAGATGTCGACCGTGATGAAAAAAAACTCAGACTTCAGCCTTTGCACAAACAGTGACCATGCAACCATGGTAACGGAGCAGGCGTAGAGACGGACGCTGCAGTTCTCCAACGCAATACTTCTACGCACAGCCAGGTGAAAACAAGGGGGTGCTACCAACACTGTACGCAAAAGTACGCATTCGTAAGATCAGCATTAGCACAAGCAGGGAGGTGCAACACAGCATGCAGCTGTAGCAACCACCATGTAACAACACCCCTTCGGCTTGGTTGCACTGACTAGGGTAGACAGCGACGTGCAGCACAAGTACAGAGATTGAATACAACCGCCTTGCACATACAGTCAAATCTGCCGTTAGCGACCTCTGCTGTAGGCGACCATCTACCGTTAGCGACCAATTTTCCGTGCACCGACGGTTTCACATACAAACTGATCTGTCCAGAGCGACCATCTGCTGTGCGCGACCAGCGACCGCGATTTCATGCACGGTGGCTGCATTCAAATCTGCTGTAAGCGACCGCGACCCAGGTTCAGTAAGGTGCGAAAATGTACTTGCCAGTGCGCTGTCAACTGCAAAGTGTGAAAATGCGCTGTCTTGCAAGTGCGATCGACTGGCGCCTGGCCTGTACTCAGGCTGTGCTGTAGCTCTCAAGTCCAGGCAGTGTCAATCTACTGCCATGTCGCATACGCGTACTATACGGGTATGGTCGTCGTTGAATATCCAATAAAATATAAGTTTCCGTGCATGGCACGGTAAGTGAAGTTAGCAACCCACCAACAATTACATTCCTAACATAATTTGCACGCACTTGCCATAGCGCATCACGTGCCCGTGCAGAACACGCACTCCGAACTCCCGCGCCCCGGCACGGGATCACGCGGAGCATGCGCATTACTCCGGCTCTCGATGCTGTTTCTTCTTCATCCTTGCTGCGCCAACAGTCAGATCGCTTGACAACCTTGGCCAGTTTTTGAGCACCACCACCCACCCCATCATCTCTAACCATCATTCTATTCTAAGCCATCCCGGAAGGGAGAACGGTAGGGATCGTGGGTCAGGCCGGCATTGAGCCAAGTGCGCCTACATGTGCTCACGAGTGCATCCCTACCGTATGCGTGTATTGACACGCCGGGCAATTGTTGCCCCCATTAGCCCTGGCATTGGCCAGTCTAACGCACATTGGTGCTTGCGATACTACGGCATTGGTCCATAGTATTGCATACTGCATGCGGCAATTGTTGCCTGCGATACTACGGCATTGGTCCATAGTATTGCATACTGCATGCGGCAATTGTTGCCTATGCCCTGATAATACAACGCGTAATAGCTCCCAAACAGGTCGGCTTGTGTGGTTGTTAAATGATATTAAAAATCACATTATTCTCGTCGATTTGAGTACATGGAAGCATATACCTGGTATGCCGGATTTACCATACATCTGTCGTAAGAGACCATCTGCCGTAAGCGACCGCTTTTTCTTGCACCAAGGGGCGGTCGCTTACGACAGATTTGACTGTAATTATATTATAATAAGATGCGTATGGTTGATCAGTTCGTTGCTGCTGCTGCGCAAAGTGCCACGGAAAGGGAATGAACTTCTCCAAGCCGACAAAACGTTATGAACTTATCAGCTTAGCCACCAAGGAAGTATGATCACCACTTCACTCCTGCTACACTCACCTGTACTGGATGGGAAGCCGGGGATGTCCTTGTAGTCGAATGTCTCAGCCTCCGAAACCTGATCCGCCAGACCACCCAGCCCCGAACCGCAGATGATACCAATGGTAGGACGATACTTGGTTCTGCCCTGGACGTTTTCGGCGATCTTCACCAAGTCAGCATGCGATGGAGCAGCCTCGGAAGCCATTTTGGGTAGCTGAACAGAGCATGGGAGAGCAATATGAGCAACACAATGACATAGTGTAATAACTATCTAGGCTTCACCAACGACAAGCCTAGATTGGCTTGCATGCAACACCTTGAAAAGAGTGACAACAAAAAATGAAGCAACATGCCTGTAATCAAGAGTCCATAATCTCAACAATGCAAGTAAACCAGTAAGTAAGTAAGGTAAACCAGTAAGTAAGGTAAAACAGAATTTTTATTGCAACTCACAGTTTCACGCCTGTGCGATCATCAGGCCAAAACTATTCTGGTATGAAACGGGAAAAAGGTCTTGTTATATGCACAGGAAAGTAAGTGAAGAATCATTGCGCGAGGAGTACAGTGGGAACAACGAATATACAGGCACTCACACTCTCACATACACAAACACGTGCGTGCGATAAACAACAACGCATAAACTCTCACTCCAACACTGAACCCACACTCGCACGCCCACACTCACGCACACACACTCACACCTTCACTGAACACCTTCACGCTGCCCCACACATTCACACTCATCCATGCATGCACATGATGCCTGTTCACACTGGCATACACTTTAATCTCATATCCAAACACAGCAGAACCATGATGTGGCAACGCCTAACCGACCATGGTCACTGCTAATCGGCCAACAAGTCAGGATTCGTCACTTCGCACTTTCCACAAAATCTGTGCTCATTGTCGACTGCGAATCAGCATACGCGCGAATGCACGACTACACCTCATGACTGCCACATAAACGCCTGTTTTCGCCCGCATGCGCTGGACTCGATCAAATTGCCTGCATTTCCTGCGGGGACAGAATGCAGGTGGCCAACGCCCATGCCTTTCTGGTGACTTAGAATTGGGTGGCTAGCTTCTCCCTTCCAGTACAGGGCATACTAAAGTGCTCTGCTACTAGTATAATTATGTACATGTAGCCTAAATCTTTTAAAAAATAGGTGCCTAGTTTCTGCACTAAAAATACAATTTTTCAGTTATATTGACACATGGAAAACAGTGGGGCACAAGTTGTGTGTTAGAGTCCACCAACTAAACCAGATTATGAACAATCAGACGTGTACAATTTAGAGCCAGACTGACAACTGGTTTAGTTTGTGGACTCTAAAACGCATAACTTGTGCCCCACTGTTTTCCATGTTTTCAATTTAAATTGAAAACATGGACTGTTTTGAACTTTTGGTTCTCCTGGGGCCACATGTGTTATTGTACATGAATATTGTACACAATGCATAATACCTGCCATGTACCTATAGCCAGTACCAGTGTCTGTATCGGTGCTTTGAAGTATCAAAGTAAAGAGGGCAATTTTAAAATTATTTTTCAAAAAAAATAGTTTCCGTTACACCGAAAAATAATTAAAATAATTGCCCTCTAGTCTAAGTCTAATAGTACTTTGATACTTCAAAGCACCGATATTATGATAGGGACACTGAGTACTGGTACTGGATATAGGTTTATGACACGTATTACGCATAGCACAATAACACTTGTGGCCCCAGGAGAACCAAGACACCGCCAAGAAACATGACTTCAACGACATACCTGACAATCCTCGTCTAAGCGTTAGACAATCGAAGGGTGTTTCGTCTTCTTTGATCTAAATGTCAATGATACAAATAGCTCCAGGCCAGAGCACTGCCGGAAATCAGGTGTAGAACTAACTATTGATGCTTGAACAAAATATTACCCATGCCCTGTACTATAATAATGCCTATGGACGTGCCATTCACACAAAACTGAAAAAGTCAACAAAGTAAGTACAAGTTATTTGTTATATACTCGTACAGAAGCCTTGCTTGGTAACCTCGCCTTGTAACATGCTGTCAAAATCGAAAAACAAGTTATTTGTTGTAGTTACATGCAAGTCACGTCATGGACAAGACTCAAGATCAGAGCATGACTGTGCATTGTGTGCAAAGTGTGCAATATGACATGTCATGTGCATTCGATTTCGAGTGAATGACAGAATAATTATTTGTGTAGTGGCGCCAAGGCGGATTCGCTTTTGAATGGAATATTCAAACAAAGCAGGCCAGCTATTATCATGAATATCAAGAGTACATAATCAAGGTTTATGCTCGTACTCATGTGATTATCAAGAGTACATAAACTCTGGTTTATGTACTCTTGTGATTATAGATAGGCTGAATAGACTACAATGTAGACTGCGCATGTGGTGTCTGTTCGTTCTGGGGGGTTTTCGGCAGGGCTGTGCAAAAGCGCGGGCTGTGCAACTGCGCGCAACGGCCAATTTATATTATACCAAGAGTCCAGAACCATGATAACCCCCGGGGGTTATGGACTCTTGATTATACTAGTAGTAGGATGCATGTGCGTGCTCTTTACCCAAGCTGTTCAGCGGAGGACGTGGCCAAGCCAGGCCAGCAAGGTGTACTGGACTGCCTGTTCAACACGAGTGAACTGAGGACAAGCGGATACCGATAAGCGACATGTACATGTAGCAGCATGCACAATGACCATCACTGTCAATACCAGGGAGCATTGTACATGAAAAGTACTTCCTGGGCCAAGCACGCACGCACGCACACACACACACACACGTGACAGACACACATGCACACACACACGACGTCACAACTCGCACCGAGAGAAGGTCAGCCGACGTCAGGTGTTTAGATCAGACCATTACTGTACTCGTCCAAGTGCAAGCAGCAGAAGCAGCATGCACTGATTTAATGATAAAATAATATATGTACAGCGAGTGCATCTTCTCCGTAGCCAAGCTACACAAGCTGCGGCCCTGAGCTGGGGCCACCAATAGCAACAGCATGAAGCAAAATAGCACAGTCAGAAAACACCTGATCTAAAATGAGTGGAGATAGGTGGCATGAACATGACAAGCGCAGTCCACCAGCATTTCACACTAGAACATGTCTCGACTTAAATAAAAAAAAAGGTACAAAGAGAAGAAGCAAGGATCAAGTAAGTTTGCACTCAGTGCGACATAAGACCAGCAGTGTGTCTACGTCATTTGCTTTTTTAAGACTGTCAGTTGCCGAAGCAATGGACGCGACAGCAATGTACTAGTGCCCCCGCACAACGTGTTGTACGGCAAGGTGGGCAGAAGGTTCAAAGTGGAACGTTTGTGTGGACAAGACATGGACTCAGGAGGTACTAGAGACTCCAGCAGACCCAGTGCCGACCGTCTGCTTCTTAACACAGAGCAAAGTCATGCTGGTAATCAGCGGTGATCCAAGGCGTGGGGAGTTGCGGCAACACCAGCCAACACACCAGCAGGATCCAAGCAGCTGCAGCGGCAGTGCAACGATGCACACCGGTTTGGTTTAGCAGTGCGAGGTGACACAGCGGGGCAGTTACGCAACACCGGGTGCCTGCTGCTCCTGTCGAATACGCTTGACGAGGCGTTCCAGCACGTGCCGTGCCTCGCACTCCGGGAAGTTGGTCAGGTCATAATAGTGGGGTGCAATGCGCACCAGCCTACGAGGACAGTTATAACAGCAACAAGCCAGCAAAGGAATCAGGGCAGGTGTGGTAGCACGGACAGAGGTCACTGCAAAGCACCATGCATGTGTACATGAAGCTGCGATAGAAGTCAGGATAAGCAGAGGTTGAACAGGTGAATCTCAGAGTTTGCACAGGAAAATTGCCACAACATTAAAAAAAAAAACTTTTCCAAAACTTTCTACCAACATTGCCATGACCAAAACAACTTACCATTCACCCTTCATGTCAGTGACTGTTCTAATGTACTTCTTGGTTGTGAGTACAAACTCGTGGTAGATAACCCACTCGGGCTTGTGGTCGAGACATGTGGACGGATGGAGCTGGACAACCTGATCAACATAATAGTGCAGTTATGCATGTAACAGAAGACAAACAGCAGATAGTTGAAGGGTAGTCGTCAAACAATCGTGTATTCCCCATTAGTATTCACTGAAATAAGCAGATCTCTTTGCAAACTAAACACACATCCTTTCCATAACTCCTTGGCGCAGACTTAAAACGGAAGGTCATTGCTAAACAACAGTACAACGAATACGCATGCATGCCCGCTCACACAACGGAACACACCGCAACACAGTCATCTCCATTCCGCAGCAATCGCATGCTTTAGCTACACACTCCAATGTACATACCTGATTATCCTTTACCGTAAGATAGTGACCGGCACGTTCCAAGTGAGCTACCTGCACACAGAAAGGAGCAAGAGCATGGTGACCATGATAGAGCAGCCACGCCAACAGAATCCATTATGAGGATAGCAACTAAGACAACAAGAACAGCCAACAGTGCACAGATATTGGACGACACCCGGGATTTCGAATTCTCGAGTCCGGATATATGCATCCAAAACGCACATGATAATCGGAGAAAAACATAATACTAACAGCAACAGTTGAAAGTACAATGCAAGAAAATGAACTCTTTAAAAGCCAGATATGAAACCAAAACACCACACACACACACCCACACACACACACCCACGAAAGTGTACTTGCCTGCATGAAGAATCCGCAAACGAGAGCTTTGCGAATGTTCAGGTAATAGTCGCGGCTGGAGAAGTCCGTGCTGGAACGGCGCAAGTTATACCGATCCATGATGCGACCAAGCTGCTCCCTGACGCTGTCTGCCTGCTTCAGTGAACGATAGTTTACAAAGTTCTCATAGCACCACTGAGTGTCTTCCTTATCTGAGCAAGGAGGCAGGATGGGAAATAGGAACAGACCCATACAAGAATTATAATCCAAAATAAACCCATTCGGTGCAGCAGAATTTTCAGTTTCTCAAACCAACTTGTTCTCCAGACTATCCACAAGCAAGTAACATAGACAGTAGTACACTGTGAAAGCGGCAGGAAATATAGTACAACCAGGAAAAACCAACCAACACCATATTGCTACAGCACACCATCAGCAAAACGACACTTCAGTTGGTACTCTGCTCCACTGACGAGATCCTGATGATCGAAACAGCTGCTGTCTGAAGGAGCAGAGTACCAACTGAAGTGTCGTTTTGCTGATGGTGTGCTGTGGCAACGCGTTGAGGTCGGCCGGAGAGCGCAGCGGTGTTCTCAATGTCCGAATGCATTCAGACACTGAACACGCCCATTGAGATAACACAATAATTATGGTAGTGTACGTTAGCATGCAACTGGGCAGGCTGAGCGAGCGAGAGAGAGAGAGAGAGAGAGAGAGAGAGAGAGAGAGAGAGAGAGAGAGAGAGAGAGATAAGATCAAAAAATTATCTGCTTCACTGGACAGACAGACTCACAAGCACACGAACACCCACACACGAGCAGCACTTACTTTGCTTGTAGGCATGGTAGACGTTGAGCAGTGTCAGGTGATCTCCATCGATGTGCGCAAAGCGCATCTTGGCTTCATCAGCCTGCTTCTTGGCGTCATTGGGTCGCATGAAGCACATGGGCACTGCATCCACGAACAGCGCCAGTGACCACAGGAGCATGGACCAGCAGATAGACGGGAGAAGCCACGCCAATCCGGTTGCACAGACAAGCAATGTCGGCGAGCAGGACGGCCAGTAGCAGCACCACCAGCAGAGCAAGCAGGCCAGTCGTGAGTACCAGGAGCAGGAGGAGGAGGCAGGCCAGACACGGTCAAAAGCAAGGTACTACATGCAGGACAGCAAAACTAACCAGGCCTATTACTCACGCCTTTTAAGGCCCACACTCGGAACTACCATGCCCCCCCCCCCTCCCCCCAAACTATCGTAAAACAATCATGGAATCACACTAAAGTTACAGCAGAGCAGAAAGTTCTCACGTCGTAAAACAACCCCTCTGCATACATGTACAGGTAAATCACTCCTAACCGATGAGCAGCCAGTGTAATCTGAGCAGAGGCCAGCCAATCCCTGTGCAATCTTCATTCAAACTCTGAGAACCTCTGATGCCCCCCCCCCCCTCTCCAACACCCACAGGCATGCGGCCACCCACCCAAATACGCACCAACCCCCCTCCCACACCCACACACAGATACTCACCTGAGAGCATTGCCGTGATGGAGAGAACTTCGTTACTACAACCATAGTCGGCACTAGCAATCACCATCTTGGCCAGCTGTGGGTCGAGCGGGAACTCTGCCATGATGGATCCGAGTTCAGTCAAGTCACCGTCGTCATCCAGTGCGCCCAAGTAGTTCAACATTTCCAGTGCTCTCATCAGGGTCTCGGGCGCTGCGTGCAGTGCAAGACAGAAAACGCAAAACAACACCTATGAGTCTACTGCTTCAGTACCACTCCCACAGTACATTGAGCAGCAGTGACGGATGTGCTATTAGAGACACACAGCAGGACTCCACCATCAGTTGTCTCTCTACAGCTTACAAACAAGAACTTGCAGCGGAACATACATGCACACAAAAGAGGAAAGAACAACTGAGCATCGGAATGGGCGACATATAAAAAGCTGTCAAGCCGATCTTACTCTGCCCACACCTGCCTGTTCAAAAAGTCTATAGCCAACAGACAACCATTGCCATAGCAGATTTAGCACAGATTTGGTTTCCAAAACTTGTGAAAACAACTGAAACTTACCAGGGGGATCCATGAAGTCAAAGTGGACCAAATCATCGATACCCAATTTCTTCAATTGCAAGACGACTGTTCCGAGGTTAGACCTCAAGATCTCAGGATACGTCTGGTCCTGCATTTCAGACTTGTACGCCTTCTCTGTGTAGAGGCGGAAGCACTTTCCGGGCCGCGTACGACCAGCTCGTCCGGCTCTCTGCTGCGCACTGGCCTTGCTAATGGCAGACACCAGCAAGGACTCAACACGCACACGCGGGTTATACACCTATGAGACAGGGCCAACACAAGCGTCCACGCACACAGACCATGTGTGGGTAAGCTACAACATAGACGAGACACTGAACAAAATACAGCACCTAAACTCGGCATGGAAAAATCACCAGCAGTAATAACGATTTTTGCTGAAATTCAGCCTGAACACACAGCCTTCACACAACTGGCCACTGCTCAATGGTACATGACATCCTTACACAACTCACAATGTTACAGTGGGGGTTCTGACAAACCACAGCAGAAGGGAGAGCAGGTATGAGAAGAAATCAGGAAATTTCCTTTGAAAAACAAACACCGGTAATAGCTACCTTATCGAACTTATATTTGGGAACGCAGCCCCATGCTGTGTGATCAGTCGTGTTGACACGTGTTGAGTCTAAAAATTAATAAAAAATAGGGATGGTCCCTAGCAGGTGATATACATCAAAGTTCTCACCTTTTGCTTAGCGAAACCAGGATCAATGACGAACACTACTCCATCGATGGTTAACGATGTTTCAGCAATGTTCGTAGCTACCACTACCTTACGGCCAATGGCGCCGTTCTCCTTGGTGGGTGGCGCTGCCTCGAAAATCCGCTGCTGCTGGTTTGGCGGCAGTGTACTGTACAGGGGGATGCATTTCATCTCACCCACTTCTGGACCCAAGTTATCGATCTCCCGCTTTAGACGCTTGCAGGCTTCGTCAATTTCCTGAGACGGCAAGAGAAGGGCACGCATGATGTAGAATTTTAGTGAGGGATGACTGAAAGGGGCGACACAATCACATTCATCCCCAGCAAACACACAGTCGTAGTGCGGGGGTACATGCTAATCAACAACTAGCCAGCCGCTCAGACGACAACATACCTCTTGACCAGTGAGGAAAAGAAGAATGTCACCTTCAATCTCTTCGCACAAGTGGATCTGGACAACAGTTCGGATAGCTGCCTCGAGGTAGTCACGCTCGGGCTCCGGGGTGTAGAAGATCTCGACAGGATGAGTTCTTCCGGGGATTGTCTGCAAAGCACCACAACAAAACATATACACGGGCGTGTTGAAAGTACAGAGTAGCAGTGCTGTAGGATATGTTGAATACCGTATTTCCTCGATTAATAGACCCGGTCTTTTGTTTTTTGAAGAGGGTTGGACCCCCGGTCTCTTATTTGGGCATGGTCCATTATTTGAGCACGGTCCACTATATTTTCATCGGCACATCGCTGGAAATGGTGGATTTTTAACAAATCATAATATAGAAGTTCTATATTAGGCCATCATTTTTTATATCTATGTTTCGCGTCGTCCGCACGCATACGTTTTGATTTTTTTCGGAAAAAAATAAAAAACATCAACCATGCACAGTTAGTGTACGATCGTGCGAGTCATCAGTGAGGACTGGTATGGTTGCATACGGCGAAGCTGGGATTCAGAAATGGCCTCGAGGCCAGCGTTGGTAAATCGTTTGTTCGGCATCTGCGAGCAGTATTCTATGAGCTTACAACAGACCGCATCGATCGCCTCAAGCTGAGAGGATGCGTCGTTCCGGAGCTCTTTGCACCGCTGCTGAAGGCTGAGTACAATAATCCAGCGAAGCAAGGGCACCAACGGTTGCCTCCTCTGTCCACAGTGATGCAGATTTTGTGCTTCGATGTACGATTTTTCTTTTGGGATGTACACCATGCACGAGCTTGTGCTATGTACAGTTCTATACACCTCTGATGAGCCTTTTTTTATTATTTTGCAACTTTTTATTTTTTTCCACCTCTCGCATATGATTCTGGAAGTTGAACTGACGCGAAACATAGATATAAAAAATGATGGCCTTATGACGTGTTAAAAATCCACCATTTCCAGCGATGTGCCGATGAAAATATAGTGGACCGTGCTCAAATAATGAAAGAAAGCACTAGCCACTACAAAAATTGTAGTTGCGCAACCTAAAATCGCGTCCTTTTTTGATCCACCACGTTCTTTCTTAGTGCGCATGCGCAAAGCGATGAACTCAAATAAGAGACCGGGTCTCTTATTCGGGTCTCTTATTTGGGCATGGTCTACTATTTTTCCGTGAGGACTCTAGGAGGGTCTACTATTTGAGCATGGTCTATTATTCGAGCATGGTCCATTAATCGAGGAAATACGGTACCAGGAAACTGTGAAACACTCAGCAGGCAAGAGTCCCCATGTACAGATGACCCATCATGGGGTTGTAAATTTATGACCCTCATACAAGAACAATGCAAAAGCTGTGAGCTAGAAAAAGACCCAAGCCTACCATGAGCGGAGCCTTGTCAAAGTACTTCTGGAACTTGCCAGCATCCAGTGTGGCACTCATAATCACAATCTTCAAATCAGTACGTGCTTTCACCACCTGCACGCACAGGCAAGCAAAACAGATACAGCACAACGTTGAGAGAAAAACACCCTACTCGTCAATGCCCACATGCCCACATATACACCCACACACCGTCACCTGCATAGTCGTGTGTGTGTGTGTGTGTGTGTGTGTGTGTGTGTGTGTGTGTGTGTGCGCGCACCCTCAGTCTCTGCTGTGAAATTAGCGAAGATAAGTTCCAACAAAAGACTAGAATGAGACTTCTAACGAAAGTTTTCGCTAACAAAAAATTGTAGTTCTACTGCACACAGCTAGCTTATCGGCATAGTGCACATTCACTACAAATACAGTGAACAGTGGAGCTCACTAAGCACATACTCTGATACGACTCTTGCTTAGTGCGGACATTACAGGGAGCGCGGGTGTATTGGTCCACACTGAGGTATGTACAATCATGTACATGTATGTTGGGATAAGAAGTAACTTGGATAGCAAGTACACTGTCCTACTGCCCGTGGAGGTGCGTTGTATCAAGAGTACATAACCGCCAAGAGTGTGCAACTGCCTGCACAACCTCTATGCTGTGCTGCGACGGCAGAACTTCACATCACTTGACATGGTTCAAAAGGTTATGCTGGCAAACAGTGCAAAGTGACCACAAGAGTGTTGTACCCAAAGCTGGGTTGCGTACAACCCTGTATCTATCATGCACAGAGTGCAAATAATGTGTCCGGGTTCATCACGTGATGTGAAGTTCTGCCGTCGCAGACCCCATAGCTGGAGTTGCACACTCTTGGGGGTTATGTACTCTTGGTCGTATCAGTGTTCTACCGCACTACATCTACTGTACAAGGAACAAGGCAAGGCCTACCTCTTTCAGCAGGCCCATGAGAATATCAGTGGCCAGTGTCCGTTCGTGAGCCTCGTCGAGCAGAATGATGCCGTACTTTTCCAGGAGCGGATCGGTCATGGCTTCACGCAGCAACATACCGTCTGTCATGTACCTGAAGACAGAAGTGTACGGGCATACAGATACGAACACTGGCTAGATGCACACCGGGTGTCACTAGAGTAGAAGGTCATCAGCACCAACATTCAGAAACACGCTATTGTAATTAGAAAATGCAATGCAGTGACATCACATAGATTTGACTAAGCAAAGATTCAGCAAAACAGAGGTGCGATAGGTGGTGAAACATGGACGGAAAAGGAGACCGAGGAGAAGCTCTTATTAGTATCATGAACAGAACAAGTCCTGATGAAACTTAACCTCCAGGGCAAGAAAATGCTATGTAATAACGGGTACTTTTGCACCGCTGTTTGTACGCAATCACATGCTGCAAAGACTAGGGAATCGTAATTTACTTCCGAAGCTATGCAAAATGGCGTATAAAGTAATACGTCAGGGTCCAGCGCCATTTATTGTGTGTGTGTGTGTGTGTTGGCCGGCAGTATTCAAATTATATACCACCAGAGAGCGGGCAAGAGGCACAGGCAATGTGATAGCATAGCGAGAGCCCTGAGCAGCACGCGCTCTCTTGTCGTCCAGTATCCTTTACCATCAGGGCTCATATCATCCAAACTCACACTGCACCAGGGAAACAGCTCAGCCTTATGCAGTGCAAAACGACAGTACATGGCACTGCACATGTGCATGTACTCACTTCATTCTGGTTGCCTGTGAGCTGCAGTCCTCAAAACGGATCGTGTATCCCACGGTCTGACCGAGAACGACGTCCATTTCGTCTGCAACACGTTGCGCTACACTCATGGCGGCCACTCGACGCGGCTGCGTGCACGCCACACCATTGCCCATTCCTCCATGATGCATCAGCTCTACGCACCACTGGGGAATCTGCAGACATCGCACAGAATCACACACACACCGAAATGAAGACGAGAGAATCTATCAGAAATCTCACAGGGCGAGGTGTGCGTGTATCACATTATACATATGCAATAGCAAGCAAGACTGCTCGGATCCCATGGTCAGGCGCATGGCACTGCCATTGGAGGTGGTCGGCTGGAGGGGGTCTCCCCCGGGAAAATTTAAAATTAGGGTGCAAAATCCTGCATTCTGGGTACTTTTGGCATTGTGTTAAAAAAAAGTGGTCCGGCCTAAGCCGGACCGGCTGCAACGCCTCTGATTAAGTCTTGCACCTCTACAGGCATTTGGGTTCCAAGAAAGAATTCCCAAACTGAACCTCGCGCATATTGAAACATTAACCCTTTGTGACCCCATCGATCGATATCGATCGATATACAGTGGCACTAAAAAAATGTATCTCTGGTGTTCCTTCACCGATTTTCATAAACAAAGGATCTATGTTTCGAGAGGAACCTTGGCTATCACGTCGAAGTTATCCGAAGTCTCTACGAGGTACGATACCGCCGTGGTGAGACTCGAGGTCGGAGGAAAACTGAAACATTCACTCCGATCGAAAAATTCAAATTTTCACACTGCACTTGGCAGGGGGTTTCCCCGGAGTGCTACGTCATACTCAAACATGCTGCACACCAAAATTTTGCGCTTGAAACAAGCTTTCCGCTGTAGTTTGCTTGAAGTCGATGGATGTGATGAAGGAGAATGGAATAGCGGCTGTTTAAACTTTGCTGGAGCTGTTCGCGCACGGCTGCTGTTTTGAGCGGCATTCTAGGCCACTCAGACCAGAAGCCGTGCAGGTAGCTGGCTTGAGTCTGGTATGATTCGCTTCGTCTTGTAAATACCTTTCCAGTAGTGGCAAGTTTGTAAAAATCGGTGGATGTTTGGCAGAGATACAAGCGAAAGTGCATGTTATACGAAGGTGAGTAAATTGTCGTACTTTCAGTGGGGTTACAAAGGGTTAACAGTACTTAACACCAAGAGAACATTTCTCATTAATAATATTCACTGGTTTGAGGGAAAGACGCTAACGGACAATAACAATAATTATTAAATTTAACTCGGATGGAGAGCCAAGGATTAAAATTAAAAAAGAGGACCATAAGTTTACAAGTTATCCGTTTTGTCCTAACGGTTATAAGTAGAATACTGTTGAGTCAAAAATGTGCAACAATTAGCACAAAAACTGACTGATGAGATCCTGACATTCAACGACCTGATGCTTAGCTGCATCGCATCTAGAATGCGCAAACCAGCAGCCTTCCAACTTGGAAGGTAAGCATCAGGTCGTTGAATGTCAGGATCTCATCCGTCAGTTTTCATGCTAATTGTTGCACAATTTTGACTCAACAGTATTCTGCTAATATAAGCGTTAGTGTTGGACAAAACGGATAACTTGTAAACTTATAGAAAGGAAAAAGGACATATGGAAACGAGTTAAGAGTAACTCTCCGCCACTGTAACTAGATACTATATACAGTCAGAAAGTGCAACCCGAGTGACCCGAGTTTCAGATTGTAAACTTATGGTCCTCTTTTTTTAATTATTAAATTAAATAATAAATTATTGCCATTGTAAGTTGGCAAGAACATAATATAGAAATACCTGTGTTGTTTTTCCACTGCCAGTCTCACCAACAAGCACCATGCACTGCGTGGACATCAATGTGTTGATGAACTGCTCACGGTATTCCCAGACCGGAAGCTGAGTTCGCTTGCTCAGGATCTCAAAGTACCGCTTCGAGAATGGCCTGTTGTTGAACGGATTCGTTCCAGACTGTTCCTTCTTTAGGCCGTCAGCTGCTGAAGGAGGAGGGTCAAATTTACCAGCCGCGATTTTCGCCTTGAGGTCCAGCTCAGCATCGTCTCCATCTGGCCTAGCCCTACACATTCGGTTGTGTATGAACAATTACAAATCGAGGCGTGCAATTTTACAAAAATTCTCAAAATTTCCAATGCCAGTAACACTTACCGTTTCGTTGCCGTGATCACCTTTCCACCAGTATCTACACGCGGCTTTCTTTCCGCCATAGCTGCGGTGATGAATACAAACTCTGCTCGCCAACCCAGCTCCACAGGCCAAAGGCCAAAACTCAAGCGACAAGACCGTTTGAAGGGCGACTACTACTGTACTCGTAACTCACTTCTTGTGAACGTGAAAAGAAAGAGATAATTATGAACATGAAAAACTGATTTTTTGCGGGTGTTGCGTGCATGCTAGGTGTAGTAAAATACCGGTGCACTGTACCCGGCATTTTAGTACTCCATCCATGATCCAGTACTTCTGATCACGTGGTACATGTATACATGGTAGAGTCATGCACGCGCAGTCGCGCACATCATGTGCAAAATACCTTGCGGTATACGCGGTGAAGGCTGATTTAAGGGGGGACGGGAGGTTCGCTGGCCATATAGGGCTTGAAAGTGCTACGTCACAGCATAGCAACAATTTCAAAAATTCAAAAATTGGATCCACTTGGATCCAGTTTTTGTATGGATCCAAGCACATTTCAAGCCGTCTTACTCTCAGCAAGGTGATGTAACCAGTGAAACTGACTGATTTGGCTACTGGGGGCGGGGTTACAACTGGTGGCGAAGTAAAAGTCACCCCTGCATACGACATGAGTGGGTTGCTATGCACCCACATACTGAGGCAATAGCAAAGTCACACCTTAGTGGATCCAAAATAGAAATCTGATGTCAACTTAGTACTCCTTGGCCGTTTTTGACGTCATCACTTTCAAGCCCTATTGCAGTGCCCGTTATAAATTCGCTTGAATCTCAGCACTCAAACATCAGAATTCCTTCAAATTTTCAGTATATGTTCCTTGACATCCACTGACGACATTGCAACCAAGAACTGTGGAAAGTATACTGGTATCATGGAGAAATGCAGGAAAGCAATTTTGGAAAAAATGCGATAGCCGGGCATGATTTCTGCGCAGTTTTTCTCAAACACGGTCACTTGAAGATAAACACATAACACTGCAAAATGATCAGGTACCAAGGGGCTAGGGCTGTTGCCTAAGCACAATGCGATTACAGTTCCCATGGTGTGCCACTGCAGCCTTGAAATAACAATGCACGTGCGCAAGATAACTTGACTGAAGTTCAAGGTCCATTATTTTGTTTCTAACAGAAGATCTTGTGTCCTAAGAAGGCAACGGATCTAGAATGGACCGTACAGAACCAGAAAATATATACTTTTACATACAAGATATGTACAGCATTTCTAAAAAACTGCGCGGAGTGCCCATAATACCCCTAAAATCAGTGAAAAATGCACCTAAAAATTACATAAAAAGGACTGATAGTGGAGTGCTACTGAAATATTTTCACATATCTGACCTGAAGTTGCCATTCAGAAACCACCTTTGTCATATGTAGTGCCCTCTTTCTCAATAGTGGTCTCCTCCCAGCCTTTCCTCTGCCTCCTTCTCCTTTTCCTGCTCTCCTTTTCCAGTGCTGATGACTTGCGGAGGGACTTCTTCACACGCCATTGGTCTTCTAGCTCAAGCGCTGCCTTCGTGTGATTGCCATCAATGCATCCACACTCTTTCAGCACACTGAGCAAGGTGATAGCGCCGTTGTTGAAGTTGAGCACTGCCAAACTACTTGCCAGCTGAACGGTGTCGACGGAGCAGAAGCCTTCCTTCGGACGCATTCTCCAAATGACGTTGTTGAACGACTCGTTCGCATTCTGCGTTGCACCCATCTGGCAGCGCTCCAGCAGACTTCGTTCGGACAGCTGCATGTAGATGGGCTTCACGACTTCGAACACAGCCTTTGGGAGAGGGTTCTTATGAGGCCTCCGCGTGTGCCCACAGACCGCTGCCAAATATCGCACGCAGCTTCACTCTCCATACCGGGTGCAGATGCCGCTGTGTTTATGCTGCACTTGTGATTATCCAGCCAGGTTGAAAAGGCTTCCTCCGTGATTGCACCACTTCGCTTCTTCTCAGTCCAGATCTTACATTCGTGACAGTATCGACCCTTCACTGTGATGTCCAGTACACGGCCGCTCTGGAAGGAGATGCACGCGAACACACCATACAGCGACGAATATCCCCTGCGCATCCAAGTGCCGTCGAACGTCACTGCGACGTGGGTGGAATCTGTCATGGCACGCAACTCAGCTGCGGATTGAACCATGTCAGTTTCAGCTAGCTTTACGGCTGCAGCAAGGACAACTTCCTGGTGGCTGCGGTACGCTTTCTCCGTTACAGGAGCAGGAAAATTCATTACGCCGCAAAACTTTCGGAGTCCACCATGGCCACGTCCAATGCATCGCATCGCCAGTACAGATCGTCAATTCAGATCATAGCTCCTGCAAATTTTCTTGCTCAGAGACGTACTTCCACTGTGTCCACACAAAGCGCATTGAAGTCGCAGGGTCGATCCAAGTCCAGTGTCATGACAGTTACTGACGATCATGTCTCCCTTCGTGCACTTCCTACAGACAGTAAATTGATCCATCAGTTCCTGGAGACACTGTAAATCCACGATCTTGTAGCCAGAGACAGACTCCTCAACATCAGGATAGAATGCATCATCATCATACTCCTGGCAGCTATCACTGGACGACTCGTCTGAATCACTGTCACTCGAGCACACAAGCTCAGATTCAAATTCCATGACCATAATTATCACTAAGCCATTTTGGCCTCGACGAAATCTTCCGAGAGGAAGCGCTCTGCGCCGCTTCAACGGTGCCTTCTTCCACAACTGGTACAGAGCTTGACTGCTTTGGGGCGTAGTATCTCCCTTTCTTCCTCCTATGGCCACTTCCAGAGCTGCTGGTGCTTCTCTTTCGGTTCCCCATGTAAAATAATTTAATTGTTCACTTTCACGATCACAAACAAAAAAACAAAGATTTTTTCCTTCGCGTGGGCGTCGTGGCGCTGCAGAACGTCATACGCGATCAAGGAAGCACGTGGCAGCTCTCCATGACTACAAAAACAGAAGCCAGGGTCGCTTACCTGGCGAAGTTGAATCAAAAACGCTTGATTTTGGACTAAACCAAAGTCACAAAATTAGGCAATTGTAAACATTTGAGTATGTACATTTGAAATTTATCTCGACATACTTTAGCTCATAACTCCACTTCTACTAAACCGATTACGCTCAAATTTGAAATTCTGGCGCTTCAAATATCCTAAGACAAGATTCCATAGCAAAAAGTTCAAAACTCAGAAATTCATTTTTTGACCCTCTGAACCTCCCGTCCCCCCTTAAAGCTTTGGTCTTCCTCGGCTTGTGTCAAGTTGTGATGCCAACATAGTCGGGTTGTTCCTCAGCCATCGTCGACCTCGACAAGAATCTGTGGTAATTAGTCTGGTGCCATTGCTTTTGAACGACGAAGGTGTAAAGTTAAAACCAGGGAGTCGTGAAATGAACAGGCGAAAAGTTAAAACCAGGGAGTCGTGAAATGAACAGGCGAAAAGAGGTGCGATTCTTCTCCCAGCAAAAGCCATTGCTTTTGAAGGACGGAGGTGTAGAGTTATAACCAGGGAGTCGTGAAATGAGCAGCCGAAAAGTTCAAACCAGGGAGTCGTGAAATGAACAGGCGAAAAGAAGTGCGATTTTTCTCCCAGCAAAAGCGGGTGTGACGACGAAATGAACAGGCGATGTCGTGGCCATTCTCCGAACTGGTCAGTCTCGTCGAATCGTCTGGCGCCGAATTTGACACACTTCGAAGTGTCCCCGTTCCTAACTGACTGTCTTCGAAATGACCGCTTCGAAATGTCGCGCGACGAGACGTCACGCTCCGAAGTGACGGGACACCAGGAGTGCTCTACCTCCAGAACTCGCCACTCATATTTCCTCCGCTTCTCCTGCTCATGCTTTCTGTAGACAGACGAGAGTGTAAGGTTTCGATTTGAGGGGACAAAAGGGTTGAACACCCGAACATCAAACATTGTCCTCTCAAACCTACTCTCATACAACCCCCGCGCTGCCACCTCCAGCCTAGCATGGTCTTCGATGTTGGTCGACCGAAGAGGGAACATTTCACCAGACAGGGGCTCCAGTGCAGGCTCCACACAGACATCGTGGGCTACTTCCCGCAGCAAGTAATTAGTTGGCGGTGAGGTCGCGAATCTCATTGTGCCGCATTCCAGGGAAGCCACCAACTGAACACGACAGTGCATGCGTCGTGTCAAACTGCTTGCCGCAGACGCAATGGGTTCAAAAGTGGCAGTCGGGGAGGGGTCCAGCCGCATCGTAGGCACAAGGCATCGCGAAATCCCGACTTCGCTCTCATTCCTTCTGTCGTCCACATGTATCAAAGGAGGCGAAATGGCCTGTTTGTGGTGCGACGTTAAATAAACTTCTACAACAACAACAACAACAACAACAAACCAGTACAACTGGTTTGTTACCACTAGACCAACACGCAATGCCTTATCACTGCCCCGAGCTAGTTCCTCTCTGTTTTTGAAATCCCCTTTCTTCTCAGCATACTCCCTTTGGTCAAACCTGCCTACTAGCATTAAGACATGCCAGGATATCAGGAAATTCACAGTCCAGCTTTCCACACTGTCTCATCCGAAGTGATCCCATGTATTATTAATGTGCCTCCCTTTCTTTTTTTCTCTCCCTATCTCCTTTCCCTCTCTGACAGCATCTTTCTTTTTTTTTTCCCTTTTAGCTTGCCGTGGTTGGCTATCACCTGACCTCTCATGTTTATTGGCAGTCTTCGGACGGGCCAGGAGATGTTGAATAAATAAATAAATAAATAAATAAATAAAACAACAACAACAACAACAACAACAACAACAACAACAACAACAACAACAACAACAACAACAACAACAACAACAACAACTTCGGCATCGTGAACTGAAAGCGGCGAGATGGCCGACACGTGAGCCAACTTGAGGCACCCTTCTCTGCAGCCAGATCCAGGATCCGTTGGTCGTCCAGACTGAGCTGGTCCCTGAAGGAGGACAGGGCCACAGCTTGATAATGGCGTGTGGTCACACGTACATCCAACTTGGCGGCTTTGATGGCAGCAAACACGTCTTCAGTGGATTCCTCCTGCTTCAGTAGCCTTTCCACTAGTGGTTTGGTGATGAAGACAGAGACGGAGAACTGGCTGGATAAACCGGTGGGGATGATGAGTCCCAGGCCACCATTGCGACATGGGAGCAACGCGTTTTTCGGCGGA